CACCATTCATATTCAGGCGTTACTATAATGCAGAGAATAATTTCTGATAATCATTTGTTGCATAATAAGTCAATTAAGGGGGACATTTTTCGCAAAGTAAGGACTCTGAATGTATTCGGGCAATAAATAACGAATAAATTTCACCGTTGGTCCTCGCAGAGGAGTTTTCGCGTAGATAGACGAACCACGTTCGTCTGCATCCCGTCGCTTCTTTTGCTTCACACACCAACAACTTAAGAATATCAGCACGAACGCCTAAACATAGTTTTTTTTGAATGAGCCAATTGATTGTGAACTGATGGAAACATAGAAATTTGTTCGTAGTTGAACGAAAAGAATCAATTAAGCAATTTTGTTCACTGACCATAATTATACCAACAGTTGCGGAGACAATAGTTAACCATTTGAAGAGATTATCCCTCTCTCTGGAACGACACCACGGCTGTGAGCCTTTATTCCATTCGAAACGATACTGGTTTGGATCGTAGTAATCCACCACTACACCACCTATAAGTATGACTCTCATCAGTACCGAAGGGTTTCGTTTAATTTTTAGGTACACAAAACCATGGGTGCTCATTAGAAAGTGCAGTTAAATCGCAAACTATGCACGCAGAACCCTGCGCATAAAACAACTCGATCAGGGAAGTGAATGAAGCAATTCTTCCTTCCAGACAATTCAACAGTCATATTTATTTACTGCAAAAAGCGCAAATCCTTCGAGTATTCGAAAAAGAAACAAAATTTTCATACATTTGTATTCGTTTTCGCCTTTAATCCAATGCGTTTGGAAACAATCGAACCGTGCCACATCGCCTTGCAAATAGCCAGATGCAAGCGATGGTGTTTTCATCAAATATTCTGGATACTCAATATTGATTGGACCACAACTATTGTCTGCAAAACATGATTTTCATTAAAATGAAACTTCGGTCACAGTCCTAAATCCACCGTCCACCTCAACTGTTGATTTGTAGGATGAAGATGTTGAAATGTTGAAGTGAAGATAGCATAGCTAGGATTTCCGTAAATTGTGGGATAATATCTACTAATTGGAACCACGAACGTCTCAATGGGAATCAAAAATATAAGAAACAAAGCTTCTAAATGAGATCAAATCGCAATTTCTTCAGATTTAATGGAATTGCGAGACAAAACTCTCGCAAATGTTTCCCACTACATCACATTCATGCTGTTTTATTTTTAAATAAGCAAATCCAATTCAAAAGATCTCACATTGTCGAGTAGCTTCGAGTCTTTCCAACGTGAACGCATTCCA